TCCTTTTGATCTCCATCTTCGGGGCTCCATGATCATCATCGTCACCGGCATGACACCATGATCTCCATCATCATGATCTCCATCATCGTGTCTCCATGAAGTTGTCTCGCCAACTTATTACTTCTACTACTATGGCTACCAGTTAGCAATAAAGTAAAGTAATTACATGGCGTTGTTCAATGACACGCAGGTCATACAATAAATAAAGACAACTCCTATGGCTCCTACCGGTTGTCATACTCATCGACATGCAAGTCGTGATTCCTATTACAAGAACATGATCAATCTCATACATCACATATCATTCATCACATTCTTCTTGGCCATATCACATCACATAGCATACCCTGCAAAAACAAGTTAGACGTCCTCTAATTGTTGTTTGCATGTTTTACGTGGCTGCTATGGGTTTCTAGCAAGAACGTTTCTTACCTACGCAAAACCACAACATGATATGTCAATTGCTATTTACCCTTCATAAGGACCCTTTTCATCGAATCCGATCCGACTAAAGTGAGAGAGACTGGCACTCGCTAGCCACCTTATGCAACAAGTGCATGTCAGTCGGTGGAACCTGTCTCACATAAGTGTACGTGTAAGGTCGGTCCGGGCCGCTTCATCCAAGAATGCCGCCGAATCAAGATTGGACTAGTAACGGTAAGCATATTGGACAAAATCAACGCCCACAACTACTTTGTGTTCTACTCGTGCAAAGAATCTACGCAATAGACCTACCTCTGATACCACTGTTGGGGAACGTAGCAGAAATTCAGAATTTTCCTACGAGTCACCAAGATCTATCTATGGAGAGACTAGCAACGAGGGGAAGGAGAGTGCATCTACATACCCTTATAGATCGCTAAGCGGAAGCATTCAAGTGAACGGGGTTGATGGAGTCGTACTCGTCGTGATCCAAATCACCGATGATCCTAGTGCCGAACGGACGGCACCTCCGCGTTCAACACACATGCAGCCCGGTGACGTCTCCCATGCCTTGATCCAGTAAGGAGAGAGGGAGAGGTTGGGGAAGACTCCGTCCAGCAGTAGCACGATGGCGTGGTGGTGGTGGAGGAGCGTGGCAATCCTGCAGGGCTTCGCCAAGCACCGCGGGAGAGGAGGAGTACTTGGGAGAGAGGAAGAGCTGCGCCAGAACTTAGGGTGTGGCTGCCCTCCCACCCCTCCACTATTTATAGGTGGGGGAATAGGGGGCCGGCCCCCCTAGATCTCATCTAGGGTTGGGGGCGGCGGCCAAGGGGGAAGGAGTGCCTCCCAAGTCAAGTGGAGGCCCTCCCCCTTAGGGTTTCCCCTCTCCCATGCGCATGGGCCTTGGGGGGTAGGTGCCCCTGGCCCATTAAGGCTAGGGCGCCCCCCTACAGCCCATGCTGCTGTATTGGACGTGGTGGAACAATTTCCGGACCTCCGAACCCCTCCGGAATCCTCCGGAACCTTCTGGAAGCTTCCCGGTACAATACCGGAAAAACCCGAACTTTTCTCGGAACCCGAACAACAACTTTCCATATATAAATCTTTACCTCCGAACCATTCCGGAACTCCTCGTGACGTCCGGGATTTCATCCAGGACTCCGAACAACATTCGGTAACCACATACAAACTTCCTTTATAACCCTAGTGTCATCAAACCTTAAGTGTGTAGACCCTACGGGTTCGGGAGACACGTAGACATGACCGAGACAACTCTCCGTCCAATAACCAACAGCGGGATATGGATACCATGTTGGCTCCCACATGTTCCACGATGATCTCATTGGATGAACCATGATGTCGAGGATTCAATCAATCCCGTATACAATTCCCTTTGCCTAGCGGTATTGTACTTGCCCGAGATTCGATCGTCGGTAGACCGATACCTTGTTCAATCTCGTTACCGGCAAGTCTATTTACTCGTTCCGTAACACATCATCCCGCGATCAACTCTTTGATCACATTGTGCACATTATGATGATGCCCTACCGAGTGGGCCCAGAGATACCTCTCCGTCACACGGAGTGACAAATCCTAGTCTCGATTCGTGCCAACCCAATAGACACTTTCGGAGATACCTGTAGTGCACCTTTATGGCCACCCAGTTACGTTGTGACGTTTGGTACACCCAAAGCATTCCTACGGTATCCGGGAGTTGCACAATCTCATGGTCTAAGGAAAAGATACTTGACATTAGAAAAGCTTTAGCATACGAACTACACGATCTCTGTGCTAGGCTTAGGATTGGGTCTTGTCCATCACATCATTCTCCTAATGATGTGATCCCGTTATCAACGACATCCAATGTCCATGGTCAGGAAACCGTAACCATCTATTGATCAACGAGCTAGTCAATTAGAGGCTTACTAGGGATATGGTGTTGTCTATGTATCCACACATGTATCTGAGTTTCCTATCAATACAATTATAACATGGATAATAATCGATTATCATGAACAAGAAAATATAATAATAATAACTAATTTATTATTGCCTCTAGGGCATATTTCCAACACTTTGCGTATGTTGGCATACGGTATCCCTGCTGATCTAGTTGATGATCACTTGGCCATGGGTGAGAGTCAAGCCATCATGTGTGTCAAGCGCTTCACAATCGAAATTGTGCAAGTGTTTGGCCAGGAGTATTTGATATCTCCATATGCTGAAGACACCGCAAGGCTATTGGAGATGAACAAAGCTCGCGGCTATCCAGGTATGCTTGGGTCAATAGATTGATGCATTGGAGTTGGAAGAATTGTCCTAAGGCATGGCATGGGCAATTCCACGGCTATAAAAAGGTTTCCACTATAATCCTTGAAGCGGTGGTCGATCAAGAGACTTGGATTTTGCATACATTTTTTTGGAATGCCTGGATCTTTAAATGACATCAACGTTGTCAACCGGTCACCACTGATGAATAAGATTGCAAATAGTGAACTGTCACCGGTGCAGTTTGTAGCAAATGGTCGTACATACAAATATGGTTACTATCTTGCGGATGACATCTATCCAAAGTGGCAAACATTTGTGAAGCCGTTGAAAAAATCGAAAGGTAAGAAAAATCTTGATTTCCACAATGCTCAGGTGGCGGCTAGAAAAGATGTGGAGAGAGCTTTTGGGATTTTGCAAGCCCAATTTGCTATTGTGGAGGACCGACTAGATTTTGGGATCAAAAGATGCTTTGGTGCATCATGCACGCTTGTGTGATTATGCACAACATGATCATCAAGAATGAGTGTGGCCAAGATTTAGACTACTCTCACATGAGCTCTTGGGACATCCCGTGCGAGTGCGACGGAGGGCTGAAAGGGTGGCCCGTTTTGTTGCCTCCTATCATGCCATTCGACGTGCCGAAACGCATGATGATCTTCATAAGGATCTTATTGAGGAGTGGTGGGCATGGAATGGCCGACAAAGAGCATCATGATTTGTGCGTTTGATGTTGTATTGTTGAACTATTTGTTGTATTAAAAGATAAACTATTTGTCTGAGTTGTAATAACGAAATTAAACTATTTTTATTGATTTATTTTGTTTATATTTGATTTTTTGCTTGTGTTTTGAGCGTATATGTTGTTTGTGCGAGAGAGCGCACTGCATTTTAGCGCACCTTATGGAGCTACGCGCGCGCTAAAGTTTACAGCGGCCGCTGGAGCCAGCGCTCCCCGTCGCGTCAAAACTGGCGATCAGCGCGCTGCAAACGTATTTTTAACGCGCGGCGCGTTCGGCGGCTATTGAAGATGCTCTTAGTGCCGGCGCCCGTGTAGAGTACGCACGTAGTCCCAACACGGCAACATGTGAGCGGTCGGTCAGCCGCGTGGTGCAACCTTGGTGTAGCTTTCATTCGGTGGATCAACTAATGAATACGCGTGCGGTACATACATCAGCAGCTAAAGATACGGGCATAGCTTCCATGGCATAGCATGTGCACTTGCCGACGTATGTATGCTACGCATTATCGTACGCTGCAACGTTTGGTAGGAATGAATGGCCAACAACATAACAGTGTCAGTGTGTACGTGCACTAGCTATCAATGTGTACGCAATGCCCGGCAAACTCTCGATCGATCTGTTGCTGTCCTCGACAAGTATTGTTGATGGTACATAACAATATCAACGAGTACATATTTGCTGCACAGAAGGAAATAAAAAGAACATTGGCAAGCATATCTTCGAGACCTAGGTCTCAAAGCATAAAAAACGAACGGCTACTATTTAAGCGTGAGGGCAAGAGCCAAGAGGGATAAGATTGCTCACAAACAGTGCAACTGTCATGCCATGCATCAACTGGGAATTGTTCAAGTCAAACACCAAATAAACAAGTTCTAAGTTCTCAAAAAACAAACAAATATGTTCAAATTCCTCAAAAATGTCACTAAATAAGTTGTAAACATATCTTTTAACCGGCATATATAAAACCTACTTAACATTTTTTTTTCACAAATTAAGCTCATTCACCTAGGCCTGAATAAGAAATGTACAATTTTGACCTGCTTCCTATGCCACTAAATAAGAAAATTTAAGTCATATATGCATAGACAAAGTCCACATGGTGCAATTTGACCTGTTTTTTCTATATCAATATATTGTATAATAAGTTCAAGAAGATGTGAGTAAGCCTATGACTAAACCACCACAGATCAGAACACAACATGGTGTATATGAACCCATTCCAACATTTTGAAGCTAAAAAACATTTAGGATAAGTTAACAAACGCAAACATATTATATATATCATGTTGTCTTTGCCTAGAAAGCTTCACAGAAGAATGCATTAATTAAACCAAAGCACTAGATATATAGATAAAAAATAAAACGAAGCCCTAGGGGGTTCTCTTCAGTCTTCACCAGAGTTTAAGTCAATACCCGAACCACCACATCAGCTAGTTTAAGCAGCGGCAAATAATAAACATGCGAGCATGCCTAGCGCGAGGTTCGTTCTTGACTTAATCCCTGGTTCGCATCTCGCCCCGTTCATTTCCTCTATGCGATACTAATTCCATCTCCACACTATATAATTTATTTGTATCCCAAGAAGCCGCTATGATGATCCGAAACTCGTCTGAAATCTTCTTCTTCCTCCTCTAGCTTTGTGATCTTACACGACCTGATCGAGCTAGTTAGACATTTGAAATGGCATCCGGCCGGCGCTGTATCAGTGTGTTGGCCGGAATCCATGTCAAATGCCCGCTAGCCATGGAGCTAGGGCGAGATGATGCTGGCCTGCAGAGCGGACTTGATCTTCTGGATGGTGCAGGAGAGCAGGTTGCTGACGGTGTCGACCGACTCCACGGTGAGCTTCGCCGTCGGCAGGTTGTTGACGAGTATCTGGAAGGCCACGGTGACGAGCGAGCCGGGGTTGTTGTTGCTGCTGCCGGCATGAGCATTGGGCGACGAGCCCTGGGGAGAAGGGTCAGTCGCGGTGGCCGGCGTGGTGTGGCCGTCGGGGAGGATGGCGAAGCCGGAGGGCAGCAGTGAGACGTAGGCCGAGTCGCCGCCGCCCATGACGACGTGCATGGACTGCACGTCCACCGGCGCGTACACCACCAGCGAGCCGGACGCGTCGGTGCACGTCTCCTGCAGGATGAGCATGTTGTTCTGGTTCCCGCTCGTCGCCTGCAAGCAAATTAAGCAGTATCAGTGACATGCATCAGCCAGCAGGAAATTATACTTGTACAAAGTTGTACCATATGTGGACAGTCTTTGCAAGCATTTAAATTGTCAGCTTAATTAAGGTACGGAGTAAAAAAATAACTGAAAGTGTAACATTTATTTGCTTAAGACCTCCAACAAACTAGGAGTGGTTCGAATTATAACTAGTAGTAAGATCGTGCATTCAATTGCTCTCTTTCACTGTGTTAAATTTGCTTGCGGTACAAAAAATATTTCTCCCTCTATACACTCATGTAAGGCGTTTTTGCAGCTCAAATTGAACTGTAAAAACTTCTTATATTATTGCACGGAGGTAGTATTATCCAAGACAAAGGAGGTCTTAAAAAGAGTGGCCAATATCTGTATTAGCAATTTTGGAGAAAACTGAAAAAACTGTGCATAGTCTAAACTTTTTTTATTAGGATGGTACTTCTGTAAATTCAAAGTGTTTTTCTTAGACAATCATGCTAGTAGAATCCTGGTGTACTTGGTGTCAACCTCATGGTTCTGTGAACCAGGATATTGCCAAGCCGCTTTACAAAGAAATCAAATAACGGATGAAAAAGATACTCCTCATGGATCTTTGAAAAGTAGTAGTAGAAGAAAGAATAAAGCCAATACTGGCAGGCTTTGGTGAGCATCCATGCAAGCGAGGACAAGGGCAGATAGGCTGCATGGCTACATGCAAGCATGCCCCCAAAAGGAGGGAAAAGTTTTTTTTTTTTTTGAAACTCAAAAAGGAGGGAAAAGTTAACAGCTAGCTTTCTATCACAAATGTCAACCCTACTAATACCCCCCCACCCCCAGACCCCAGTTCTGTAGCCAAGAACAATAATTTCTTGGAAGCTTTCTGCGTCGTCCTCTTCCTCCTGTCACTGTGCCCCCCAACCCATGCATTTGCCAATAAGGCCATGAAACCTGCATCATGCTAGTTCATGCTAGTACAGTACTACTCCATGGAGTAGTACGAGAGGTAGAGGAGTGCTTGACTTCTTGACAAACTATTCATCATTAACTATATCTCTCACCATTGATCTGGTTGCAGAAGTTTTGTCAGTTTAATTGCTATTTACTACTTCCTAGTTAATGTTAGATGCACAGATGCTTTAATTCTACGTAAAAATTAACAAGTGTCAGAAGACGCTGAGATTAATTATGAGGAACAGAAAAATTCAGAAGGAACTGAGATGTGTGGAAAGGAAATGAGAAATGATGGAAGGTATGATGTACTGTACTTACGTTTGGACGGAGGAGGGAGACGGCGTTGCCGTGGTGCTGGCCCTTGGCGATGTGGTCCATCTCCTGCATGGCCTCGCCGTTGGCGAGGATGTCCCACTCTCCGCGGCGCTGCTCGTCGCGGAGGTAGTCGAAGACGCGCTGCGGCAGCGTGCCGGGGAGCCGCACGGAAGTGGTAGCGCTGAGCACGACGCCGGGGGGCTCGCCAGGCGCGCCCACGCTCTGCCTGGCCATCATGCGCACCTTGTCCTCCCCGCCGGCCGGGTCCCGTCCGCCAGCGCCCTCGACGCGCCACTCGTCGAGGCGGCGCCACTTCTGGGCGGCCGTGGCGCAGACGCCGGCGCAGAAGTTGTCGGCCATCCGCTGCGCCAGCCTGAGCATGCACCGGCGGCCCGCCGGCGAGATGGCCTCGTGGCGGTCGCCGTGGTTGGGGTGCGGGTTGGAGCAGAGGATGGCGTGGTACTCGCACTGGCGCTGCAGCGAGGCGAGCCAGCGGCGCGCGCCCAGGGCCTGGCCGGAGCGGAGCAGCGGGCGGTACAGCTCGTGCACCGCCGCCTCGTCGTACTCGGCGTGAACCACCCACGTGACCTGCACAGTACGTAGCACAGCGTCAGCACGTAGTTACACTTACCACGGGCAGCCTCTCATCGAATGCAGCTTTGCTTTCCCCGCTGGCTCCGGCCACTTGCCGCGACAAGGCAGTAATGGCGGCTGCCGGCGCACGCGCGGTGCCGGCCGGGCAGCTAGCTGGTCACGCACAGTAGTAAAGAAGTAGGAGTAGTAGTAAAACCGGCGTGCGTGTAACAAATTGCATGCATCACTCACTGAAGCAAGAGGACAAGCCGCGCGCGTAGACACAGCCACGAGCAACGACAGCCAGCCTGCAACTGCATGCTTTGCTACGTATCTGATCGGCCATGATATCACCGGAGCATAGTGGAGGGTCCAGAGATTCAGAAGAAACCCAGTTGACCACTGCAAAGCCCTAGCTAAACAACACACTGCGCTGCTACAGTCGCAACCAGAGGGAGATTGGCATACTAGAAAAAAATTACAGGCATGCAAATGGTCGAACACGAGACGCGCAGTAGTGCAGTACAGCGGCTGGCGATCAGATCGCGCGCGCATAGACATAATCTGCGACGTAGATATGCTTAGGTTTGGAACTGAGCGTCGACCACACGGCAGGGGGTCACGTGGGGTGTCAACAGGCCGCAACTGTGCTCGTCATTACTCATTAGCAGCATGGATCATGCACCATCGAGGATGAATCCTCCCACGATTGATTAAGCTGGACTAGTTGGGTTGTACAGCGCGTAGTGGTCTACTTAGTTGTATAAGCAGCCAAGGAACCCTAAAATACTGGATCTGTCTACTAGCCAGGCATTTCGGGCGCACGGACGGGCGGACGGATGGAAGCATCGAAACAGTTGAAAATTGGGTGCCTGCTTGGGGAAGCGAAAACAATGGCGATCGGTTGTCGCAGGCGGCACGGGTACCAACTGATCCTATGCACGCACGCACGCACGTCCCGGCCCGTCGTCACACAAGACGAGAGCATTGACTTGAGCGAGGAGGCCGGCTGGCCTTGGATTCACCTTCGTCCACGTCCTTCTGCGGAGCATAGAATACCGGGCCGAGCGTGTACGTGCGTGCGCGCGCGCGGCGTTAATGTGGGCGGCCGACTGACTGACTGCCGCCACATGCCGATCGACGCGCCGTGCGCCAACCAAGGCACAAGGACTGATCATGGGCTGGCGGTGGCGGCCGTGGGTAGGTACGCCGGCCGATGGAGCAGGACGGCGGTACGGATGGCTGCGTTCGTTCGACCGGTGGGTGGGTGGGCGGGACGGACGGGTTTGGTTACGTACCTTGGCGTAGCCGTTCTGCATGTCCTCGACGATGCAGCCGGAGGGGAGGAGGCGGCAGCCCATGTACCCTGCCGGGCCGGCGCCGGTGCCGGAGTCGGGGCGGAGGACGCCGTCCACCGACACGTCCACGATGGCCCACAGCCCGTCGGCGTGCTGCTTGCAGAAGCGCAGGAACGTCACCTCCCTGATCGGTACCAGCGGCGACAGCACCTGCAGCTCCGCGCGCATCTGCAAGCAGCGTAACGTCAGCAAGTGAGCTCAAACTAGGCTGGCCGCGAGGTGGAGGCGTGGAGCTAGGATGAAACTACGGGAGTGCATGGTCACCAGTTGGATTGAGCCGCTGCGGGTGCCGCCCATGCCGCTCGAGATGATCTCCATCGTGCTCGCCCTCGCCACCACGCACGGGAACATCTCCGACCACCGAGCCTGCAGCATTGCACCGATTAGCTCTTGTGTTTCTGCATGAAGCACCGCTAGTGTATATGCTGATGGCAATGCGCACCTCGTTCATGAGGCTGTTGACGAGGTCGACGCTGTTGATGATGGCGATGCCGACCTCGCGGGTGGCGTCGGAGACGTAGCCGGCGGGGCTGGGGCCGAGCACGCGGGCGAACGCGCGCCGGTACTCGTCGAAGTTGAGCGTCTCCAGCCCAATATCCAGGCTGGGCTGCCACAGCGGGTCGTCCACCTGCGTCACCTTCACCAGCTCCTCCATTGCCGCGAGCCCGAGCTCCAGCAGCGCGCCGCGGTCGATGGCGCCGCCGTCGCCGCCGAGGCCGTCGTCGAGGCCGCCGCCCATGATGCCAGCGGGCAGGCGCATGGCCGCCGAGCCGCCGCCCATGAGGTCGGGGATGGACTGCATTCCCATTCCCATGAAGCCGTTGTTGCTGCCGACGGCGAGGTCGAGGCCGGAGCAGAGGGACGACGGCAGGCTCAGCGGCGAGGAGATGGCGGAGACGGGGCGGCCGAGGAACTTGCCGGCGAGCGCGCAGACGCGGTCCAGCTCGTCCTTGAGGCGCGAGTTCTCGATGCGCAGGTGCTGCTCCTCCAGCGACACCTCCCCGAGCACGGCCGCGCCGCCGCAGTTGCCGCAGGTGGGGCTCCGCATCGCCTCCCGGATCGTCATGTTCTCCGTCCGCAGCTTGTCGTTCTCCTGCCGCAGCAGCGCGTTCTCGTGCCGCTCGATCTGCGTCTGCAACCAACCCAGCCAGACACGATTACCAAAAAAGAAGAAGGAATTGATTCTTCTTGGCCTAGCTTGTCACATCAACCGACACGCTGCACCAAAGATACTTAGATTGTTCTGGCTTCTGACTGACAGTCCGAACCTTCATCTGCGTGCGGCGATTCTGGAACCAGAACTTGACCTGGCGGCTCTCGAGGTTGAGCCGCCGGCTGAGCTCCATCCGCTGCTTCTCGTCGGGGTGAGGGCACTCCTTGAACACGCTGCGCCACACACGTACGCACCCAAAATGAAATTTAGGGCTAGAAAGTAGACCAAGAGCCTGCGAGAATTGCAATTGCTTACGCTTCGAGCTCTTGGATTTGCTGCGGCGTGTGGCGGTGGTAGCGCTTCTTCTTCTTGCGCGGGTTGCTGTTGTCCGGGTCGAGCTCGTCGGCGGAGGCGCCGTCCAGGTTGTCGCTGCCGGAGCGGCTGTCGTTCTCGTCCTCCCGCGCGCGGCCCAGCGAGTCGCCGTCGCCGCCGCTCCCCGTGCTCCCCATGAAAGCGCCACCCAGCTGACCTCCGCCCTCCATGTTCGTCTGCTAATTAAAACCGAGGAAAATCGAACGCAATTAAACACGGCAAAGAAGAGAAACTGACCGATTAATTAAGGCCAATAAACACCCAGTGGTATTGAGCGCATGAACGGCCGGGTGGTAGTATCACAGCGTACCAGGCCGAGGGAGAGGCCGGTGGATGAGGCAAAGCCACCGCCGCCTGCGCCGGCGCCGGGCCTGGGGATGGGCGGCGGGGCGAGGAGGCGGCCGGGGTTGTGCATGCCGGGACCGCCCCCGCCGGCGTCGTAGGAGAAGACGCCGGAGCCGGCGCCGTCGAACATGCCGCCGAAGCTCATCTACGACTAGAAACGACAGACAAAGACTCTCCGCCGGTGTTGTTTTTCTTTTCTAGGACTGATGACTGACTAAAATCTCTCCCTCTATCCCGAGAATTGATCCTGCTACCCACCCCTGCGGCTGCAGGCGGGAAGGAAAGCCGATCCCCTCAGATCCCGACGATTGATTGCGTTGTTTTTATGAGGAAAGAAGAGGGCTAGGCATGCATTAAAATAGCAGGAACGGGCTATACATGGCATGACGGGCGCGGGGACGGAAGGGAATCATGGCGCCCGGTGCAAACAAGGAAAGAATCGCGACGTGGAATCCCTAGTAGTCTACAAACAGCGCCTCTGACTTGCCCCTTCCTCCCCGACCCCCGAGATACCGCCACCAGTCTCCCTCCCTCGGCCGCCGGCGGCGATGGCGACGAACGACTGCGAATTCAACTGAATAACAACAAACGGCGCGCCCCTCGGTCCAAGGAGAAGGAAACTCGTGGAGGAAGAAGAGTAGGGGAGGAGAGTGCGAGATGATGGGAGGAGAGGGGTTGGGAGGCTGGCAGCTCCGGCTATGGATATAACGAAGCCAAGCCAAGGCAGACAGCGTTGGTGCTAGATAAAGCCGGACATGTGGCGAGCAGATAAAACGGTTGTGTTAAGAGAGCTCATCGTGAGTGCGCCATGTAAACCCGTGGAAGAAAATGGCGACGGAAACGAACAAAAAATCAAGTGGGGCTGACTCGCACACGGGGGCGGAGCGACGCGAGAGTCAAATGGCCCCCACCGCCGGCGGTACGTACGCTACCGACACCGGTGGCCGTAGCGGAGCAGCTCCGGCTCGTTCCGTACGAGCAGGCACGGATCTGGGCATCTGGCACGCACGCGGCACGGATCTTTTTAGCGAGGAGTTAGCGGCGTACTGGTAGTATTTACCTTGAGATTAATTACCGGGCTGGCCTCGGCGGTGGCTCGCTCGCTGTCAGCTGTGGTGCCGAGAGAGAGCGGAGGGAGGTGGAGATGGGAAAAGGAGGTGCGTGAGTCGTGACGGGGACTTGTCACGGGTGGGTCACCTTTTCGGATCGGGCGCCCGTACGGTCCCCCTCCCGCTCGCCCTCGCGTCGTGGAAAATGCACGAACCGCGTCCGATCGACCGATGGAGGTGGTGGCGCACCGCACGGGGTGTGCAGGAAGCAAGTAAACCCAACCGATGGGAGGGAGACCATAAATGGAGGGGAGGTGGCGGTGGGGTGTCTCTGGCTGGTGTAACGTCTGTCCCGTCCGGCGGCTCCGCCCGGCTGGCATCCGCAACGGCAACCGGCGCGGAGTAAATGCCGCGGGCGGGCGAGCCTGGGCTGGCGCCGTGCCACGGCACACGGCACGGGACGTGGTGGTGGTGGTGGTGGTTCGTTCGGTGAGGGCGCCGCCGTATTCATTGCTGTGTCCGTCCGTCCGTCCGTCCAGCCAGCCAGCCAGCAAGCGCGCTGCAGCTGGCCGGGCGTCATCGACGTCTCGTGCGATCGTCGTCGCCGTGCACGCGCGCGCGTCGGGACGTGCATGGACTATGTACGTACGCTCTCGGCGTTAATTTGCCGCTGAGCTCTGTCCACCGGTTGATTGATTTTTTTCTTTGAGGGGAACGGTTGATTGATTTTCGTGTGTACGGGTTCGCCGCTTCATATGTCATTCCTAATTTGTTTTTTCTTTAGCCAATCCTTAATTTGTTTTTTATCAGAAATCCTTAACTTGTTGGCAAATTTAGCATGCTCCTTCTTGTGAAAGTAAAACGAGAGAGAGAGGAGCAAATGATGGAACAGTTACTTTCATCGATGAAGTTTGGGGTATATAAACCCGGATACAAAGGCGGTTACAAAGAGCAGTTGCCAATAGTGGAACCGACATAAGCAGGGATTAACCTTTTAATTAAACTAATTAATTAATTCCTAACACTCCCCCTAATCAATGCTTGTCTTTGTGAATATACACCATCTTGATAAAGAACCGTCCTTGTAAGTGTTTGCCTTTGAGAATGTTCATCATCTTCATCTTGAGAAAGACTTGTATAATCCTTAAAGTCTCCTCCAAAAACCCTATGGGAAAAGTATGAGGAGAATAGTGTAGATATGTTGCTAAAACTCCTTTAAACCCATTGGGAAAAATAATAAGGAGAAAAATTATGCAACATATAATGATTATTATCTCTTGATAGCTCATACAAGAAAAACCTTCGAGGAAGGATAAAACTCGTTGGTGAGTATAGAGAACAGTAAATATGCTTTATATACTTTCCTTTAAAACCCCGATGGAAAAAAATTGAAAGTATAGCATATGATCTTAAAATGATGTTGCCTCATTAAAAACCATTATGAGAAACTTTGAGAGAAAACTCATAAGGGAAAAGAGCGCAATCTGATATGCCATTGCAAACTCTCTTAAAACCCAGTGGGAAAAATATAAGGAGAAAATAATATGGCATATACATACACTTGTGTTTATATTGTCTCATTAAAACCCTTTTATGAGAAACCATTAGGGAAAAAACTCATCAAGGGGAAAAAAGTACAATATATGCAATCTGATGATTGTTAACAGGTTATAATTTGGAAGATTACTCCCCCCTGAACTTTGCAAATCTGGAGGATGTGTCATACCAATTTCACTGACATGATCATGACATTGTGAATAATCTATAGGATTATTTCCTCAATTTTCTGTAGTTCATGAGGATAAGTAATTTCGAGCAATGTGTTTTTATGATATTGCTCTTCATATAACCTGTAGGTATTGAGTAACACAAGTGGAAGCATCTTAATAAATCAAGTTATGTGATTCTGATGAATGTCAACCACATGATATAGAGTGTGGTTTATCATTCTGCTGAGCCATGCATATTTTGCAGTGCTTTTAGATAAAGCAATTATGCTAGAATGATAAGTGGAAGTAGTCATTAGAGTCAATTTAGATGACTTCCAAGAGAAGACTATTCCGACGAATTCAGTCATTGATGTGGCATTGTTGGGATCAAATAAAGACCCGATATCGTTTCATATATCATGGTCATATCTTGATTTTCCTGATGGAATTGCCCAAGATTTATTGTGAGCTTGAGATATAAGTTAATATTTCTTATATCGACCATATACCTTTTGTTGGTATGATATATCCACATTGAACTTCTCATATATGTTTGGATATATGTAGACTGATATGTATTCTTGAGAGAATGCTCAAGTTGTAAACTTAAGCTAAATTTGGTTGAAAATTCCCCGTCTTGAGATGATTTTGTGCATGTTTAAGTCTTGTATAGACATTGATGATGAGGTCGTCAATATACATTGAGGTGATGAAAGGAAATGGAATTTGGGATTCCTTTATTAAACATGTAAATAATCATCATTATTCAAGTAATCCTTTTGAAGAAGAAACTCATTTATTTGGCAGTACCATATGATTTCCGGCTATTTCAAGTCATAGAGTGACTTATGAAGTATTACACAAAACTTGTTGCGATTTACTTTTGGATTCGGAAGTATAAGCCTTTCAGGGACTTCAATAGAGATTTTCGAAATGAGCGACTCATATGAGTATGTAGTCACTGCATCCATTAACTGCATGGATATTATTATTATTATTATTATGTTATTGCCAATGATATTCAGTATCGAAACATAAATCCACCCATACCAAGAAGGTATGTTACATCATAATTGATGTCGGGTCTCTGCGTGAACCCTTTTGCTACAAGCCTCGCTTTATCACCACCTCATTGACTTTGTATATGAATGAGAAGTTTTAGTATTCCATATGGAAGATACTTATGAGGAGTAGGTATTACTGTGGTAAATACCACTTGTTTGTAGAGCGAGTGTTATTCTTCCTTACTTGCTTCCTTTTATGTGAACCAATATGAGTGCAAGAGGCACTCTATCATGGATTTTGGTTCAGGGCCCAAAAGATTTTAGCAATTTGAGAAGAAATACATGTCGACAAATGTAGTCTTTAGTTTATATGATTCTGATGGAATAATTGAAGTTTGTGGATAAAATATTTATTCCTTTTAAACTCCTTGTGATTTCCTACAACAAATGGAGTCAAGATGTTCCGATGTCCCGGCACCAAAACATTTGTGCACATTTATGTCTGGCTTTGGATGATGAGCATCCAATGAGGTGTCTTTCAACTTGATGTTGAATTACATTTACTGGTTGATGATTTTTGATTTCCTCTATTTCCGTGGAAGCATATGAGAAGTTATATCTCGTGTTGTCAGATTTCCCCCCCTCTTGCTCTCGTTTGGGGATAAGAGTGGTTTATCAGGTACCTCCACTCTTTCTGACACTTTACTGCAGGAATATAGAATTTAGTGACACCTTGTCATCAGTAAATGTATGTGGCAAATTTGCAATGTGTTCCAAATATATGATTCTCTAAACTTCTAGTTCAGATTCTTTGAGTACGTGGATATAAGGATTGAATGTCAATAACATTTCTAATTTATTTCCCGGCATTCTTTGTGGTACTTATCTCCCCCTAATACCGAAAAATATCCTTATTGCTGATGCAATCAGCATACGGGCTATGAATATTATTGATTGACAGATAAATTGTTATTCCTCACATACATCCCTAATTTTCGTGAGTGCCCATTGATGTACGCCGGAATGGTGATATCGGTATGTAACCGAATTATCGCAGATGGGAAATACTTTGTTGATTTCCACGTAGTAACTACAAGGGGAAAGTAGTACGATATGCAGTTGGTATGATTTAGATCATACTTACGGTGTGTAAGGTCGTATGTGTTCAACAAGAGGCTGGTAACTTTACAATTCTTTAAAGGTGGTCATGTAATTCATTTAACTCTCTTTGATAAGAAATTTAGCTAAACCATTCTGGGTAAGTACATAAAGTACTTAATGCAAAAAAATGCTCATTGAATGAGTTCAACAACATTGTTCATTTGAATGGGTTATAGATCCTATTTTCAGGAGAATTTGCTCTTACTTTGATAAGTTGAGCAA